TGGGCGGGGCCGGGCAGCCCTGGCTCTGCCCCCGCCGCCCCCCCCGGGACCTAGGACTCTGCAGAGGGGGCTCCCCAGGGCCCAGGCCCGTGGAGGGGAGCATGTGGGACACCCCAGCCATGGCCAGAGCCAGGCAGGGCCCGTCTGCCCCAGCATCCCCTCCGCCCATGGGAGCGCAGCCGGGCCAGGGGCAGAGCCGGGCAGTGTCCACTTGGCCCGCAGGGCTTGGGCTGAAGGATGGGGGCTGCCCAGACTTGCATGGGACACTGAACACCTCCCAGTCTCCCCCCAACCAGGCCAGGTCCGCTCTTGGTCTCCAGGACAGCATGGACCTCGTCCGCGTGCCCTCATCACACCTCCGCTCCCAAGCTCTGGCCTGGTTGGGTTTTTCGCCCTGCTCTGGCTGCGAGAAGGGGCCTGGCGTCCCCATCACAGGACCTCTGGGGCCGGCTTGTGACTGCGGCACAGAGCACGGCAGTCCTCACAGCTGCGGTAGAGGCCGCAGCTCCTGCCACTCTTGGGCAGGCGCTCTCTGGCCTTTATCAGCGCTGGGACAAGCCCCAGCTGGCTGCCAGTCTCTCCCCATCGCCTGATTCCTGGAGCTGGGGCTTTAAGAAAAGCAGGCCTGAGGCCTATGAGGAAACCAGCAGAGCTGGGGGCAGTGGGAGGGCTGGGACTGCAGTGCCTGATGTCAGGGGCCACAATCTTACCTGCTTTGCCACCAGTGGCTGAGGGAAACGGGGATCCCTGGCCCAGCTGGGTCTCAGGTCTGGTTCCTCCCAGCACGGAGACGAGACAAAAGGGTCGGAAGACCCTGGGCAGCCGTGAGCGTTGGATGGAGGGGTTCGGTGTGGCCTGGTGTCCCTGAACTCGGGGATCTCCATTGACTGGGAAAGGGGGCTGACTGCAGGTCGTCCAAGTGCTGGGAAGGCTTTGTCCCAGAGAGGCCTGAGAACGTGCAGACGCAGCATGGTGCCCACCTCCCTGCTGGCAGCCAGCCCAGGCAGTCTCAGGTTTGAGTGGCATAGGGCTGCTTTTTCCCTCAGTGCACCAAACACCCACGCCACCAGCCTTAGGGGCTGCCTGCCTGGGGTGGTGGTGGGGGGAGTCTCGGTGTCCCCAGCCCTTGACTGCATGCTGGGCCACACGTGCCTCCAACCTCTAGGATTGGGACCACTGGAACCATGGACTGTGTGGGGAGGGAGCACTCCGAAGCCCTGAGACTCACAGGTTGACTGGAGTAGATGGGGACCACCCAGCACGGCCCCCAGCCCCGCTACGCTAGGCACGGACCCAGGCACAGCCCGTGTCTCTGCCAACAGGGAGACACCCCTGCCCTCCCCAGCTTGCGCAGCCCAGGCGTGGCAGCTTGTCCTACTCACAGCGCCAACTCCCTGGGAGCCCTGCTCCGTTTCAAAACCAGGATTTCTGCTCTCACCATAGCACTGGGGTTACCAAGCCTTCTTCTGGAGGCAGGTCCTGAGCGGCAGGTGTGGCCATGGCCTAATCCAGGTTGCCCTTGAGGCCACGTGTTCATCTTTCCCTGTCGGGTTGGGGGCAGCCAGAGTGGGGGATGGCCCCTTCCCTGGGCAGCTGGGGACAACATCTGCCCCCACAAGGCAGGCTCCCATGGGGAAAGTGACTTCGCACTCGGCCATCCAGGAGCAGGGATCATGTCACAGGGTGTGGCTCTGGGCTGGCTATTTTGGGGCTACCAGGTGTGGAAGGCAGGAGGATTTCATGTCTTGTCTTAGCCTAAGTTGTGTCTCCTGTCCCTTTAAATCTGTAAAGTTGCGGGTAGGTGCCTGAGAGAGCAGCCTTGGGATGACGCTGGATGCCCAGACCACTGCCAGGGCAGGCTAGGGCACGGAGGAGGTGCCCCCCACCCTACTACCTGCTGTCTGTGTGAGCCAGGAGCCCTGCCAGGCCAGGGGCGAGCAGGCAGCTGGCACGGAGGTTGATATGCGTGCTGCAGGCAGCTGTGTGGCTGCACAGAGCCCACTCCCATGAGTGCTGGGTTCCCAGGAGTTGCGGGCAGCTGCAGGCTCGGCCTTGGGGGCTGTGGTTGCTTCAGGGTACAGCCTCAGGGCCCGGTCCCCCCCAGGATGTGGGGCAGTGAGTCTCCAGTTTCTCCCACACCCAGATGTCTAGGAGCATGGCCTCCCCACCTCGCCCAAGCAATGGGGAAACCCAACATTGCAGGCATCTCAGACAGGGCAAACAGCAGTGTCCTATGGCCACCCAGCCCTGGCCTGAGCGCCCCAGCAGGGAATCGCACAGAGACAGTGGCTCCGACAAACACATTTATTGCGAACCCCAGCAGGTGGGTGGGACTCACGGGCGCAAGGCACTGGCAGCTGGCTTGGGGTGATATGGGACGTGAGGTGGGAAGAAGACAAGCCGGCAGAAGTCCCTTGCGGAAGTGCCGGGGGTCAGGACAGTATGGCAGGGCCACAGGGATCCTG